ATTGAAACACTTTTAGTTTCCAAACTATCATTAACACTGAAAGTAAATATAATGCCAGGACCATTTGCAAAAAAGCGATTTGGCAAAAATTGTGTTAAGAAATTATGGAGTTTTTTTTTCTTTAGATATGAATGATTTTAATTATAAATGCCACTAAATAAAAATTACTTTGTGGTACCAAATCAAATCAAATACTGAAAAATAAATTATTATATAAAATATATTTAAATATCAAAATACACCTCAAAAGTTTAATTAAATTAAAATATCATTCTCATAACATATTTCACAACAAAAGCATTAATTGAGACATGGAATCGAATATTGGCAAAAGACTGAAAAATATCGTCCAGCCAGCCAGTTATTCGCCTGCTACAAATTAGCATTTGTACATCAGAAGCACTGACGCAATCTGCTGGGGGAAATCCACTAAGCCTGGACACACATGGGCAGGGGAAAGGACTTTGTAGTTGAAGGGCAAAAGCAGTACTCCACAGGTCCAGTGGGTTGTCAAAGTAACGCCGCTGGCCATGTTTTTATGGTAACACAGCTGGCTGGCGGAAAACATGACGGGGTTTACGTTACCTTCAGGGGCACAGCAGGGGCAGAGGTACAGGACTCTTCGGCGAGGGGTCCCGACATAGGGCTCAACTTCCACAACACAGGAAAGGAATGTGAGAGAGAGAGAGAGAGAGAGATAGCAGAGAGAGAGAGAGAGTGAGCAGAGTGGTGGAGGTGACCAGAAGGGTGAAATCAAGAAGGAAGGAGAGAAAGAAAGAGATGTGGAAGAGAAATAAAAGTGAGGACCGAAATCAAAAAGAGAAAGAACTCTCGGGAGAAACTGAAAGCAGCAGTGTGATGTCACATATTGGGAAGAAATGACACGGGACAGAGCGCAAACATGAATTGAAATGAACTACTCTTTGAACTTTTCCTTCTGTGCACTACTGAGGGCAAATAAGTGGCAACTCAAGAGCAAACCTAAAGTCTGCACAGGCTACATCAAAGAAGTACAGTATGCAATTGTAGCTCTCCTGAAAGTGGGGTCTAGAAAAAATGGATTTTAAAAGCTAAGGTTGAATTATTATATCATCTTTGGGGATATTCCTGGGTGCAAAATATATTTCTCAATCCTCTCACTACGTCTGATGTGGAAATCAGCAATCTATACGGCGGGTGTCAATCCAGCCACACGAGGAAAAAGAGCTCTAGATAAAAACGCATCAAATGAATGTTAGAAGAATGATTGGCACCAGAGTAAAGGATTTCGCCAATGATGCATGGGAGCAAATTAAAAGCCAGATCCTTGTACAATTCTTTATGCTCTGCAAAGCTAGGATGACGGAATGGTCTTTAAAATGCTGAAACAATTGGATGTCGGATAATTCACAACAAGGGGCTATCACAGAGGAGTTTGTCAACGCAACCTTCGAAAGCTCCACTTCGACCTTGTTTGCATTCAGAAGTGGCTGAAACTAATCAGCACTAATATAACAGTCTTATGTGAAGGCTGAGGACGGTTAGTTTCCTATTCTATGTAAGTGACCACTATTCTGACCCTATCGACACGTAAAAAGCAAATAGACATTAAAAGGGGTATTTCATTGAAAGGATGTTTCAATCTAACATGCATTGAGTACTCGTCTTAACCCGCATCATCTCATTTCGCTGGCTCATCCTCTGCAGTTATGGGAAGAATTGGTAACTAATTATCCATGAAAAGTAACAAGCTCACAATTCTTATGCAGACATGCATGGAAACGACCCACAGGAAACAGGCCATAAACAAATGCACACTGATGCAAAGTTACACAGAAATCAACAAAGGCTTTCTGAATTAGTTTTTTAATGGCTACAAAAATGGGGACAACCAAGTTTTCCCGCTATGCCTAAGCCATAGGCCTCAGAATGCTGACAATAATTATGCAGTGTTTTTGAGCTAGGATTACAAGAAATCCACCAACTGTTAGCAGGTCCACCACCAACTAGGTTGTGATGAAAAAAACTCTCTTTTACAGGAAAATCAGTCCAAGCAAACAGCACACATATTAGCCACTTAATCTCTGTGCACCTGTTACAAAAATGAAAGAAAATGTAGCCACAAGAAGCAATTATGTGGTTGCAGCATTAAAACGCCAAACAGAAGTCTTACAAACTTTTGGATTTCAAATGCTTTTCCCATCAACACCTTCAGACAATTTACCCGAACATTTATAAAATGTGAATATGTTGTACTTACCTGGGTTTTCTAATTAAACAATTGTTGATATATACTCTTAGCATGTGTAAAGACCCATAAACTACCACCTAAAATAACCCTTGTTACCTTGCAAGAACTTTTTGGCATGCTACTTTAAGAAACATCTGGTTGCATTGAAAAAGATTCAGAAGATGGTTTAAACAATGCCTCAATGTCCTTTAAAAACTATGGGTAATTTATACACCATCACAAACAGCGCTCCACGTTATCTCTGTCTGCGTGGGTGATCTCGGCATGGCTTGCCTGTAACTTCACAGTGTGATCAACGAAACGCCACAAGACAATACACTCATTCAAACAAGCACTCAACAGATCCACAGCGTGAGATATAAGGTTAGGGAACACAGTGAAGACGAGCCACACATGATTAGATCAATCGCAATCAGGAATGATGCACTGAACACTGGGATCTCTCGGGGTCCGGGGCCCCTATGCAACTGAGCAGGTATGGGAGGAAAATATGAAAGCTAAAGTGCTGGCGGGTAAAGCAGACAGCCATAGGCATCTAACAAAAGGCTAGAGGGGAGGGGCTTACTCAGGATTGCAAGCTAGCTACATTTATTTGATTGTTTAAGCATTTTGGATTTCAGATGCTGCTAAATATTAATGGCACATTTTTAGTTTGCAAACTAAGATTAAAACTGAAAGCAAATATAATGCCAGAGCCATTTGCAAGCAAGCAATTTTTGGGCAAAAAATGTGTTAAGAAATTATATATTTTTGGTTTGATTTTAATGATTGTCACTAAAAAATAATAATAATAAAATTAAATAAATAAT